TGCTCTCTTGTGTGTGTGTGTGTGTGTGTGTGTGTGTGTGTGAAATATGTATGATTGTGCGACAGTTGTCCATAATGTCCGTATATAGTTAATAACATTATCTAAAGGCTAAGTTCAGTGTTGCAAAAAAGTTTGCTTGTTGCACCATTTTCATCCAAATATCATACAATTAGATCAGATCAGACTATTGCTTGGTTGGTTGTGCAACTGATTATAATGCCCGTTCTGGTTAGATTCATTTATGGATGTATTTTCCTTTATATTTTTGTCTGTTCTTATTCGCTCTCCACGGATCCTGCCACAGGAATTGGAGCTGAGACTGGATTTAGATGTCCCTTCTACGTGGGATGGCATGATTCTGCTTTTTGGCATTAAGTACATCCAAAAATGCTACGTAATGATGCGCTTACAAATATGTACATACATATGCATGTAATTATGTACATATGTACATACATATATCGCGAAATGCTTAATTGCTAAAACAATTAGTTTGCTGGTTTAGTCGGTTGGCACTCTTTCTGTGATTTTTCATTTAAATAATACTCACAAAAAGCGAACAGAACAGCCAAAATCGAGAGACCCCGAAACAAAAAGTTCCACGCCCCCCCCCACAGCTGGACAGCACACCCGACCAGACCATCCACACACGGGTGGAGTCCATTGTCCGTTACAGATTTACGTTTTTTGTGGAACTCATTTCGAAACAGCTTTTCTCTCTCTTTTACGCTCTTGCATTCGGTTGCTGTCAGCACCTTTTCTTCATCCCGTCCCTCGTGCTCTCTCGCTGTCTTCCTCCTACGTCGCCTGATAACACGCTCCAACAAAGAACTGTAAAAAGTGCCACCCTCTCTCTCTTCTTTGCTTTTGTAAAAATTGCACAAAATGCATTTTATAGCGATGGGACGAGGGCTTCCATCAGCAGGCCTATGAAAAAAGGGGTAAAAAAACAAAAGAAATACAAGTTAAGTTTACTTATTATTATAGTACAAGCGTAGTGTATGTGTACGCTGTTGTGTTTATTGTTGCTTTTTTCATTACAAGTAAGTAGTTTAAGCGATGTAGCAGACCGTGGCGTGGCCCCTGCACTGCACTGCTGCAACATGTACTTAGTACCCCACGGCCACTGTCTCATCCACTATCCTATACAGCCACTGGCTACGACACAGACATAGACATGGGCGAGGCGGTGGCCGAAGGTGGGGCAGATCTTATCATTACGGTGCCCCAAGTAAATTGATGTTAAGCATGCCACAGGGGGAGTGAAATATACGAGTATTAATTGAATTTTAACGAAATGGGTTGGTTGGGTGTGTGTTCCGTCCGAAATGGGGTCTGGGATGTGGGTTAAACTTCCCACTCCCCACAGCAGTTGCTAAGGAAACGCTCCTTATTTTCAGCTGCACATTTAACCATTTATTTGGTGGTATTGTCTACGTTTCTGTGTTCCATGTCAGCCTTAAAGAATTGGATCATTCAATAGATCGGGATCGGCTGGATCCTGCAACACATTTCGTTGTTTAAATCTAATCTTCAGATTGAAACATGAAAAATATTTACATATTGAGGTGCTAAATGGTCAACATTTTTTCCACTCTAAACCCATTGCTGTCGCAACGTGATTCGCACATTAAGAACAGAAAACATATGACACATGCCTCAACAGATCAAGCAACTGGCAAATTAGATCAGATTCGGATACCCTTGCCCGACTACTTACATGCAGCGAGTGTATCGATGTCGCCTCGTAGCCGCCCTTGCCCTGCATTTGGGTTGAGATCGCGTTGAGGCGGTTGGCCGAGAGCTCCACGTCCGCGGAGCCAATGTGCCCGGTATGGACAAAGTTCGTGGGATTCCCAATCATGGATCGGTCGATGCGCAGGCGTTGGTGGGGGCGACGGGAGGGCGATCGCTGCTGCTGAAAACAGCACGAGAACCACTGCAGCCAAATCTCCCCGGTGCTGGCCATCTTCTGGGTTGCTCCTCTGCTGGACGGCGTCGTTTCAGTCTTGTGGTGGTTGCTAATGGTGAGGCTGTAGTTTCCAGCCAGGTTGACGTCTGTTGGAGTGGATTACGCACTGCCACGGCCACGACTATAAAGATGAAAGCAGAGGGAGGAATTGAATTAGTTTTCTATTCGTTTTGTTTGCTCCAGAAAGTCAGCAGAGTACAGAGATCTGCAAAAATGTTAAGGAGTAGGTTGTCTGCTCTACTTATTGCTCCACATTGTCTTTCTGTGTGTGTGTGTGTGTGTTACCTTGCTATTTTCTGCACACACCGGGACCTACAAGGCATCAACAGATCCACAGAACTTTCGTCGAACATCAGCAGAAACAGAACAATAAAATGAACAAAATATAGCCCCGAGGTGTCTGTTTCTTGGATTTTGTCTGGCAAAGGGAAGCCGTGTGGCGAAAGAAAATGCCAAGAACAAAAAAACAAACAACAATTAATTGGCACTTTTGTGTAATTAAGATTGAGAGAAAGACGCCAAAGAACTCACAAACAGACGAGCCAAACCGAACCGAACCGAACCAAGCGACGAAAGAGCTAGAGGAGAATAACACAAAAAGCCGTCAGCGAGCGACTGGACAAGACCAAGTCAAAGCTATCACTCACGATCTTCGCGGCTTGTTGATTTCTGCCTACTGCTCGGCCGGATCCAACAACGGGTTCTTGGGAATATCTGTGTATAAGTCGTTCTCTCTTTTCTTTAAATTCATACCGGCTGTATCCCAACACACTTGAATAAATAATATTCTATTGTTGCAGTTTTATATTGTTCTTGCAGAAATTCAGCAGCAGCAGCAGCTGGATCGGGAATCGATTAATTCAGATTAAGGTTCAGGGAAAACTTAAAAACATGTGCCTGTCTGGTATCCATTTGTCATAATAATAATATTACTTCCTAGTACCTTTGATTCATGTGAAATTGCGCTTTTTCTTACAGTTGTTCTTTAATCTTTATTACCGCCATTTCCATCTAAACCTAAAACAGTTTTCATTGGATTATTATCAGTCTATGACAACAATTTTCCACGCTGATTCCCGGCATCGATCGGATCTGCTGCTTTCTACACATGAACATTTATATGCGAGATCTTTTCCATCTGCCTCTGCCCGCGTTTGGGGCAATTAAAGCTGCTCAAGCGGCTTTAATGCTCAGTGAAAACAAAATGAAAGTGGCAGGCAGAGTAAGACGGAGACTGGAGGAGTCGGCTCAATATAATAATACAAAACATACATACAAACACACATTCATATAGTATCTGCACTTTCCGAGAGTGAGCGTTATCTGACATCGCGCTGCGACGACGCGTGACACACACAACAACCACAAACAACAACAACAGCATGAGCAAGAGCGGAGCCATTGACTGGCTGACTGCCTTACGAGCGGCAAATGCGCTAAAGCGTTTCAATTTTCTGTGTCAAAAGGTTATTAAAGTGAGAAATAGCCAAATAGACACAGAGACACACTTTCCCACATTGGCGGACAAAACATTAGCATCTTAACTTTTGAAACAATTTTCATGCATCATATACATAAATAAGCATCAATAATTACAGAAGGATGTGCATATTTTCTGCTCAGACTTGGCTGCAAATCAAGTATTTATCGAGAGTGCCAGTCGCAATTACATACATACATACATATACAAATGTATGTAGCTTTCGATTTCTATATGCATATGCTTGTGTGTATTTATGTATATAGAAATCGAAAGCTAGACACCGTTAATTATCAATCGAGTGACGTACTTATCCGGCCAGCGGCCCAGAAGAGAAGAGATGGAGCGGGAGAGATAAAAATAAAATATAAAACACTCTGACCGGCGGCTCTTCTGTGTGCGTTATGAATGTTGTGCGACGGGGGGGACTGGACGGGAGGGGCCGACCGCGAATTACTCGTCGGCACTGTGCAATAATCGTAAACAAATGGATTCCCAATGGGCTGAGTGCGGTTTTTCTTTTGTTTGCTCCATTTCGCCACATTTATAAACATGTTCTGTGTTCCTCCGTTTCTGTTTCTGTTTCTCTCTGTTTTTGCAGCTGCTGACATCATCGTCGTCATCGCGACTGGCATCGGGCGGGGTTATTGAATTTTAACAGAAAAAACTAAATCCACATAACTGGGCGCAAGTGCAAGTAATTATTGTACTTATTTTTAAGGCGCTTAAATAAAAAAAAGGTGTCTCTGTGCACGTTAGGCTGATGAAAACCTAACGGGAACACACGATAAAACACGTGTAACAGGGGGGATAAGGAGTAGGCGAGGAATGAACGATGGCCTCGTACAGGCGGAGAAACGGTTTTTAATGCCTAAAAACATTACTTGATTTTGCTTTTGCATTTGCTTTATGTGTAGACATTTTGCGAGATATTTTCTATGACATTCGACTGTATGTTCTACCAAAAGAAAAAAAACGTCACACGCTTCACTCAGTCATCGCTTAATACTCTCTTAAAACCCTTTTGTCGTCCGTCATCCAAATTCAAAGTGTGACCCAGAAAGAGCCCCCAAATAATCGAAATACCAATATTATGTGCATACGCTTCAATCCAATAATTCACACGCGCCAAACACATTAACATTAACGTTTAATTAATGTATTTTCGCGCAGCGGAAATGAAATTTATGCAAGTCAATATCCCCAGACGGCAGCAGGGAGTGGGAGGAGCTGCAATCAAGCTGATGTTTCCCCCAAAAATGATGTAATATATGGCGCACAAGCAACAAAGTTGGGAGTCGACGAGAAATGGATCCAAATGGACAGGGCATGTGCATGTGTGTTTGTGTGTGTTAGTGCGTGCACGAAGCAGCCATTGATGCCGATGACAACATGTTTTGCATATCAAAAGATCCGTTCGTTGGCCAAGGGTTCAAGAAACCAATAAACGGGCCCTCATATCACTCATAACTTATAAGCAAGGGATGAGAAATACAAAAAAAAAACTTGATTGGAAATCACATGCTTTGGCATTGTCTCAGGCGAGGGTTTATCGTTTATCCATCGTTATTCGTTTATTCAGACATCGTCGGAGATGGTTTCACAACAATCACCAAAGAACACTCGCTGCACTCCACAATCGCGTCACTTGTGGCCGGCCCGCTTTGTTCGGTTGACTCATCGAGGGCTCTGGCTTCGTCGAGCAGATATTGTCCGCCGCAGCGACAGTCGTACGCATAGGTCCATACTGTTGCCGTCTCTTTGTCTGCGTCTGCGTCACCGTCAGCCTCGCCCCCATCTTCCGTGACTTCGAGTTGGATGCTTTCCATGTCGCTAGTCGTTATGTGGGCATAAATGTTGCTGTGCGCTTGAAATTTGGACTGCAGCAATTCGGCATCGTAGTGTTTACGCTTGATGGGATCTTTAAGCGTGTTCCAGGCCTCATTTATGGCATTGAAATCGCTCAGGTTCTGATCTCTCCGCTCCTCCTCACCCAAGCATTCCCGATTTGGGTCAGCCACATCATGCTGCTGTAGTTTGTCGGGATGACATTGTAGTATCAATTGTTTGTAGCTGCCTTTGATCTCTTCAAAACTGGCCGTCTCTGCCACTTTAAGAAGCTCATAGAAGTCGGGCATAATCTGCAAGACAAGAAGTTGACATTAAGTCCATGAGTGAAGATTGAATTAGATGAAGGAAATACTTACATTAACACAAACAACTAGGGAACACTAAGGGATGGCAGGTCGCCAAATATCACCTTATCATGTTTTCTTTTGGTTTGTAGCAGAAAATGTGCGATTGATTGTCACTGACGTCGGTGTCACGTTTACCAACACTTTGTGTTCTGGCGCCACAACAGCTGTTTATTGTTTGTTTACATGTTAATCGCGAAGCACACACACACACACCGTAATGATTACCAGTAACTGAATCAATGCCAAACGAAGCACCAAGCAAAGCCGCAGCCACCACCCCCACGTAAAATCAAACCCTCCTCTTGCAACCATTCCCTTTGTTCTGAAAACGGAAACGGCCCCAACAAGGAGTGTGCTACGTGTTTGTCGTGTTGCTAGGGAGCGATAAATCAGCTTTTCCACATTTATAAATACATTTAACCTCTTTGCGTGTTTTTCCACCATAATTCCCATTCGACCAATCTCACAAAGATCCCGTTAAAAAAATTGAGTCGAATTTTCATCGGGGCGTCTATTAAGTTGTCACTTTTCAGCACACACACACAAACACATTCGGTCGCTCGCTCTCTCTTTCTGGCACACATGCACTGAAAGTGGTACATATTATTGTCAAAAAGTCAAGCCCCAATTGCACTTGGAGAAGGGGAAACAAGGTCAACAAACTGGTTCGCCAGCAGCAGCCAAAAAGATGTACATATACATACATATAGAGACTAGCGAATGTCGCTGCAAAACCAAGCAACACAAGTTGACCCAATTTTTAAATTACCAAACAACAAGAACGGGGAGAAAATGGGACTAAAGGGAAAAATGAAAGGCGACCCCAATCAGAAGGGACAGAATGCATTCACTTGTCCATTTTGGGGGAAGGGAACTAAAACTAAAACTCCAACAAACCGCAAATGTTTAGAAGAACCAAAGGTGTTTGTCGTGCCGCACTAAACCCAGACTTGCCTTTTCCCCCTTACAAGGTGTCGATTTTTCCTGCCGTAGCTGTCGTTGCCGCTGTTGTATCCGTGGATGTTTTTATTGTGTTTCGCAGGATTCTGCCATTTTTCGAGTTAAAGAGAGATTTTTAGTTAAACACTTTTCGCGTTTCACTTGTATATCATTAATTTATATTATTTTTATTGTCACGTGCGAGGCAGAGCTACTGCATTTTGCATTTTTATGATTTACGAGCGGCGTTTTGTGAACATGGAAACGAATTGTGGGAAGTCACGGATGGGGTTGTCAAAAATATATCAAAATATCAATATATCGATATTTTTGCAGTGATATATTTGATCACCGATATTTTTTCCCTGCAAAATATATTACCGATATGATATTTTTTAAATTATTACAGCCCTAAGTGCCAGTCGCAATGACTGTAGACAAAAGCAATCGGACCATTATGGCCATTATTTGGCAAGGCAACCGGGTATTCCTTTCACGGTATTTATTTGGCCTTTTTCCGCCTACATATTATAGTCGCCACTTAGTGGACAGACCTAAGCAGTACTCATCGATATGTCGAATATATTCGAAATTCATAAATTACTATCGACTGGTCATCGGACTCATCGTCTGCGACCAACCAATTTCGCTGTAGCGATTAAATAACAAAAAAAAAAGCTACTATCGATGATCACTTTTGTACACTATTCATCTCTTAAAAATAAAAAATACAAATATGTTAGCGTCAAATTTATCAAAGACATTCTCTGAATATATCCAGTTTTCATGTGAAGGAGGTTTCCCAAAGGTAAATTTAAGGAAAACAATGAAAATATTATTGTATCGATAGTTTGCGAACACACTGAAAGCAACCCTGCCGTACGATGCTCGAGCTGTCAACGCAGTTTCCGCTTTCTTTCCGTGCGGTTCTTAAACATGACTGGTTTAACGAATAGGGTAAGTGCAAAAAAAAGGCAAATAAACTAATCTAATGTGACGGTACCAGCAAACAAATGTATGCAAAGCGTTAAGGACCATATGGACTTGTGGTGACAGTGATAAAATGTTGCGAAAGGCAACGAAAAGACTGTGTTTTGAGTGGTAAAAAAGTTGGCCCCTGTACACGTGCCCAAGCCAGCAGTAGCATTAGCGTATGTGAAAATCAATTCCTGAGCACAATGAGCATTGGGCAGAGTGAAAAGTGTTCATTATTATTTGAAGAATGTGAACTGGCGCAAAAAGCACTGTGCATACATTTGTTTATACGGCGCTCACACGACATAACCTCACATTTCTGACTTTGTTTTTGTGCGTCCCTTGCAGACCGTTGTTATTGATGGTCGCGGCCATTTGCTTGGCCGTCTGGCCTCCGTCGTGGCCAAGTACCTGTTGCAGGGCGGCAAGGTGGCCGTCGTGCGCTGCGAGGAGCTGAACCTCTCCGGCCACTTCTACAGAAACAAAATAAAGTTCTTGGCCTACTTGCGCAAGCGTTGCAACGTCAACCCAGCCCGTGGACCCTTCCACTTCCGTGCCCCCTCCAGGATTTTCTACAAGGCGGTCAGAGGTATGTACAAACCCAAGTCGAGTGGAGTTCAGCCAATCTGTGATGTTTCCAATCATTACCTACATTATTTGAATGAGAAACCATGTAAACAAAACATAACTGAGTAAAGCTGGTCCAACAACTCGTGCCTCTTCCCTCTGATATCATGTATTAACCTTCTCTTTTATTTTCTTTCAGGTAAGCTCGTGTTTTAGATGTCCTCCAGATCTAGCTTTGGTGATGATTATTACTTCTTACCTACATTATTTGAACGAGAAGCCGTGTAACCAACCTCAAACTGACTCTCCTATCGGAGCATCAAGCCTGCTTCTACAATTGTGCCTTTACTAATGTACTGGTTTTTTGTCTCCTTCGCAGGCATGATCCCACACAAGACCAAGCGTGGCCAGGCTGCCCTCGCCCGTCTGCGTGTGTTCGATGGTATCCCATCGCCCTATGACAAGCGTCGCCGCGTCGTTGTCCCCATCGCCATGCGTGTGTTAACCCTGCGTTCCGACCGCAAGTACTGCCAGGTCGGCCGTCTGTCGCACGAGGTTGGATGGCATTACCAGGATGTGATCAAGAGCTTGGAGCGTAAGCGCAAGGCCAAGTTGCGTATCACCCTCAAGCACAACCGCGAGCTGAAGAAGCTGACTGTCCAGGCACGTGAAAACATCGCCAAGGCGGCTGAGCCCTTCAACAAAATCATCAAATCCTATGGCTACGAGGTTTAAGGACAACAAAAACACCGGCAGATGCGTAGCAGTTTTTTAAAGGAAATAAAGCAACATCTAAGTTTAAAAAACAATCGCCTTGTGTGTAGATATTTATAGTGTGGGGGACGCCTCTGGTGGCTATGGATTGGTGGATCTGATCAGTGAACGTTTTTCAAATTCCTATCGATAATATTCAGGCAAACAGCGGGACTATTTCGAAAAAAGCTTCCTACTAACAGCTGATCAAGGAAAGCTTTTACCTGTCTGTGACAGGGATGCATGCAAAATAAACTTGCAAGTGCCAGAGTTATTTTTTTAATCTTCCTCTAGATAATATAATGTCAGTCTTCGAAGGCAAAGTAATAATTGTAACTGGTGCCAGCTCTGGCATTGGAGCAGGTGCTGCCATCCACCTGGCGAGTCTCGGTGGACTCTTGGTAGTTGTGGGACGCAATGTGGAAAAGTTGAAGGAGACCGCTGACGGTATTCTTGCCGCTGGGGGTGCTCCGGCGTTGCAGCTGCAGGCCGAGATGACCAAGGAGGCGGATGTGGAGAAGATAATTACAGCTACCCTGGAGAAGCACGGTCGCATCGATGTACTGATCAACAATGCGGGCATTTTGGAGACTGGATCCATTGAGAATACCAGTCTGGAGCAATTCGATCGTCTGATGAACACCAACGTGCGTGCCATGTACCAGCTCACCATGCTGGCCACTCCCGAGCTGATTAAAACCAAAGGAAACATTGTGAACGTGTCCAGTGTGTGTGGCGTACGTGCATTTCCCGGTGTCTTGGCCTACAATGTGTCCAAGGCCGCTGTGGATCAGTTCACAGCCTGCGTTGCCCTAGAACTGGCACCCAAGGGCGTGCGCGTCAATGCCGTCAACCCCGGCGTAATTATCACCGAGATACACAAGCGCGGCGGCATGGATGAGACAACTTATGCAAAGTTCCTGGAACATTGTAAGGTCACCCACGCTCTGGGCCGCCCTGGCGAGGTAAAGGAGGTGGCAGCGGCCATTGCATTCCTAGCCAGCGACGCAGCCAGCTTCACGACTGGAATAAGTCTTCCCGTGGACGGCGGCCGACATGCCATGTGCCCCCGCTAGCGGGAAATACGAAGAATTTATGGCATACACCTCACATTAATATATTTATGCAAATTAAATGTTTGTTACACTATATATCTATGCATTTATAATGAAAATAAACCCAAATATCATTAGCAACTATTTCATGTATGTGTGAGTGTACAGACAGTTCCAGTAGGAGCCAAGTAAAAGCTTCGCTTCGAAGCTCCAAAGGGAAACTTTCTTAATGATTTATCTTCTGATTATAAAACCACAAACATTATAGCGGTCATGCTCGTCCCGTATGCGTAAATTAGACAGATAATTATCAACGTTTCCGCAATTAACACTCCACTCCACATTATTTCACAACGGCCGAAAATAGCTCCAAAAGCCATTGCTATCGATATTGTTATCGTCAACAGACGAAACCCAACACCAGCCATTCATCCATCCCACTTCCAGAGGATCGTTCCAAGCGCGAACCACAAATAAATTATGCCCAGTTTCAAAGATAAAGTTATTATTGTGACGGGTGCCAGCTCCGGGATTGGGGCAGGCACTGCCGTTCACCTGGCCCGTCTGGGTGGCCTCCTCACCATTGTGGGACGCAACGTGGAGAAGCTGAAGGTCACAGCCGAAGAGATTGTCGCCGCTGGAGGAGCTCCAGCCCTGCTGATCGCAGCGGACATGAATAAGGAATCTGATGTAGATCAAATTTTTTCTGCCACACTGGCGAAGCACGGACGTCTCGATGTGCTGGTGAACAATGCGGGAATCCTCGAGACGGGTACCATTGAGAACACCAGTCTGGAGCAGTACGATCGCCTGATGAACACCAATGTGCGCGCCATCTATCACCTCACCATGCTAGCCACCCCCGAGCTGATCAAGACGAAGGGCAACATTGTGAACGTGTCCAGTGTGAACGGCATACGATCCTTTCCCGGCGTGCTCGCCTATAATGTGTCCAAGGCAGCCGTAGATCAGTTCACCCGCTGTGTGGCTCTGGAGCTGGCTCCGAAAGGTGTGAGGGTGAACTCGGTTAATCCCGGAGTGATCATCACCGAGCTGCAGCGTCGTGGCGGGCTAGACGAGGAGGCATATGCGAAGTTCCTGGAGCACGCAAAGGTCACCCATGCACTGGGCAGGCCTGGACAGGTGTCTGAGGTGGCGGCGGCCATTGCATTCCTAGCCAGTGATGAGGCCAGTTTTAGCACCGGTGTAAGTCTGCCCGTGGACGGTGGTCGGCACGCCATGTGTCCGCGATGAGATGTTCTGTTCCTATACCGAATCAATTTGTTAAACAATTTGTATAATATATGTATTTTCCATTTCCCCTGGAATTGCAATTTCTTTTCAATGGGCAGCAAGCGTAAGAATTACAAGAATGCAAGCTGCGATTGAGCACTTAAAGTGCTCGTTAATGGCGCTGGAGTCGTCCCTGAAGCTCGTCCTTGCTATAATGTGAGATATGTGTACTGCCCCTACTTGTGGTACCAGAAGAGCTCAGACGAACTATTGATAAGCAAAAAGTTTATTATAAAAGTCACAAAATAAATGCAATAACTGTTTAGACCGCATGCTTGGACCGTCCGAAGTTTATCTTGGGCACATGGCGTGACGACCGCCGTCCACGGGCAGACTTACGCCTGTAGTAAAGCTGGCGGCGTCACTGGCTAGGAATGCAATAGCCGCTGCCACCTCAGACACCTGTCCAGGCCTGCCCAGTGCATGGGTGACCTTTGCGTGCTCCAGGAACTTCGCATATGCCTCCTCGTCTAGCCCGCCACGACGCTGCAGCTCGGTGATGATCACTCCGGGATTAACCGAGTTCACCCTCACACCTTTCGGAGCCAGCTCCAGAGCCACACAGCGGGTGAACTGATCCACGGCTGCCTTGGACACATTATAGGCGAGCACGCCGGGAAAGGATCGGATGCCGTTCACACTGGACACGTTCACAATGTTGCCCTTCGTCTTGATCAGCTCGGGGGTGGCTAGCATGGTGAGGTGATAGATGGCGCGCACATTGGTGTTCATCAGGCGATCGTACTGCTCCAGACTGGTGTTCTCAATGGTACCCGTCTCGAGGACTCCCGCATTGTTCACCAGCACATCCAGTTTGCCGTACGCCCGAAGGGTGTCGGCCCACACACGCTCAATATCCTCCGGCTTGCTGATGTCACCTGGGGTGGACACTACTTGAACTGGGCTGGACTTGCTAGCCTCACTGCATTGTTGGGCCACTTTCTTCAGATTTTCCACATTGCGTCCGTTTAGGGCCAGGCAGGCGCCGAGCTTTGCGAATTTGAGAGCTGTTGCGGCCCCAATTCCAGAGCTCGCTCCTGTAATTAAAACAACTTTGCCGGCGAAATTCATGATCCCGTGTTACGCAAGTTTGAATCAAGGTCGTAATCTCAGTGCGCATCTTGTGGGGTTTCTGTTGGGGGTACTCTGCCAAGCAGGGTTCCCACCCCTTGACATTTTATTTTTGTTTTTTCTTGTTAATTTATTTGTATTTAATATTATCTACTATATTTATTATACCATTATTTATTATTCCGCCATTAAACGCATTTACGAGCCACATCGAAAAGAGACAGTCACAAGAAAATGCCCGCGCTCGGCTGTGAATGGCAACAATTCGCGTTGTTCCGCATTCTGTAATTATTTTCAACGCGGCTGCCAGAATCATTTTTTTTATTTAAATTGCAACTATTATAAGCCCCAAGCAAATGCATCATATGTAAAAGAAGAAGTAAGTGTGTGTGGCTGTCGTATGCACAAAAGTTTTCATTAAATATTGCTCTGAAGCGAGCAAATCCAGACAAAACTAGTCCCCGTGTGACTGTGTGAGTTTTTTTTTTTTTTGCAGAAACATCCACGACGCTTAGCGGAAAAAATTTGGAAAGGTAGATAGGCCCACCGTAAGCTAAGAGACCCGCAAATAAAGCACAACAAACAGCAATGGACGTGTCACAACCACCGCCTCAGTTGCTGACAGCGCCATCTGCGCTGGCGACGAACTTCACATCCCTTCCTCCTCCCTCGATGGGCGGACAACACTACAGACATTACCATCCACATCACGGGGCCAACAAGCATGGCTACAACCAGTTCAAGCCCTTCATGCCGGGTGGCTTTCAGCGGCCCTTCGGCATGTCCCAAGACGATTTCGATGGTAAGCGATTGCGCAAAAGTGTAATGCGAAAGACCGTGGACTACAATGCGTCCATCATCAAGGCCCTGGAGGTGAGTGTGAAGGCTTTCATTTGCTCGGACGAACCGCAATGGTTTACGAAACATTTTACTTGCTTGCAGAATCGCCTGTGGCAACGCGATCACAGGGATCGACTGGCCCTGCAGCCCGATAGCATCTATGTGCCGCATATGCTGCCGCCTTCCAGCTACTTGGACAATCCCTCGAATGCGGTGACGACGCGCTTCGTCAAGACTGCCACCAATAAAATGCGCTGTCCCATCTTTACGCTAGCCTGGACGCCAGAGGGCAGGCGTCTTGTCACCGGAGCCAGCTCAGGCGAGTTTACTCTGTGGAACGGGCTTACATTCAACTTCGAGACGATCCTTCAGGTGAGTTGGAAAGCGACGCAAGCGGACACCCAGCTAATCAACTGATGTGTTGTGTCGCCCAGGCCCACGATATATCGGTGCGAACCATGGTCTGGTCACACAACGACAGCTGGATGGTAACCGGAGACCACGGCGGCTATGTCAAGTACTGGCAGTCCAACATGAACAACGTCAAGATGTACCAGGCCCACAAGGAGGCCATTAGGGGAATAAGGTATAGCCATTTAATCGTAACTGTCTACAGTACTATTTACCCATTCCTAGACGATGGCTCGAGCCACAGCCAAAGCCAGAACTCAGTTCAAATTGAAACTTTAGCTCGCGTTGCTCACCCTCGTAGTGATTGTTGTCGTTGTTGTCCTTATACCAGTGTCTCGCTAGACGAACTGTCACGGGTCGCGTGGACAGTTGCCAGCATTCAATTCCTCGGATACCTTGGTAGATATTTACTGTTGGGCTGTTGCTGTTTGCTGTTTATTAATAAAGTTATCACTCGACATGCAACATGCCATTGAGCCTGTTTCGGGCGTCCCTCCCTCCTAGCCTTCCCTGACTTGGGGCCCCAAGAGAACATCCCCAAATATCTGTATCTGTTGTAAACCCTCAGAATGAGAACTCCTCTGTGTTATAGCTATAAACAATTAAAGACTGAAAGTGAAATGCAAATACTGAGATACCTGAGAAACAATAAAAGCAAACAAATTAACTGAAAACGAAACCAGTGCACCATTTTATTTACGCGGCATCACAGACTCAACACAGCAACAAAAAACAAATAAAATAAAAACTGAATACAAACAGCAGATTGTTCAACAAATTCGGGGGTTCGAGTGTTTTCTTTTGTGAGGCGATGCCGATCCCGATCCACCTGGCCTGCTCCAGGCTGGAAGCATTCTGGCAACTGGGCCAACAGCATATTGCGAGCGCATCTACCCACAGACAGCACAGTCAAGCCAACTTGTAGGACTCTACAGTAAACTCCCGAAGGCATCAAGGTTGTTAAAAGTGTTTACGCAGTGGAGTCCGAAAAATTACTTAACTTAGATTTTACAACAGTTTTCATATTGTTCTTGTTTTGTTTTTCCTTTTTTTTTAAATTTAATCTAAACTGTTTTATACTACACCTACTAAAACAATTAATCATTTGGCTAAGCAAACAACATGAGGAAGAGCGTCGAAATAAAGAAATAAACGCAAAGAAAAGCAAAACTCTAGAGAAATATCAAAGTACCGTTAACCTCCACCCAAATGATGATGTGAAGCCATGACTTCTTCTGGGCAAGCATGAAATAGATCAAATAAAATCAATCAAGTGAAATATTACGTCCCTTGTGCAATATTTTGTGTACATTTAATAGCAAAGCAAAGCAAAGCTGAAAATACGAGTACAAAATTCTACATACACAAACAAACACACACACAGACAAGTCAAACCGTTATTCGTTACGTTCTAACCTTTCTCCAATGCCATTCAATAAACGCAGTTTCAGTCCCACGGACAGCAAATTTGTCAGCGGCAG